TCTAGACATTTCGTATTTGACAGTTTAGAACCAGAAGTCGCCATATTGGATTTCAAAATGGAATCATACAACGATTTCTGACCTCTACACGTCATCCTAGACTCAAAGCGCTGAATTAGAGCCGGATTTCAAAATGGAGTTAAACATTAATTTCTGGACTCATCCGCTTGGATTTTGGAAAACCGAAAGTTGTCATCTTGGATTCTAAAATGGCATCAAAAATCGATTTCCGATTTCTACACATCATCCCTATTCCGAAATTACCCATATTGTTGGGTATTTGACAGTTTTCCATGAACCGGTAGTCGCCATCTTGGAATGTAGAAACCCTGAACCGTGAGTAATGTTATCATTAGGTAGATAATTGATAATCTGACAACTTTGTAGAACATTCCAAAGCTCTATCTATCGATCCTCAAATAAGTTTTGAATTGCGTCTTTCACTTATCGACGGAACTTTAGTTGCGTCGTTAGTTTAACGAAGTCACTAGTAACACCCAGCGGTGAAAACCGACAACTATTGTGTGGTCATAAGATAGATAATTGGTGAACTCCCATCTTTGCAGAACATTTCTAGACCAACAATTGAAATAGGCGGAACAGGTCTTCCTTCACATTCGATTGCCGTCAATGGATGGCAATCGATGTCCGCCGGTGATTGGCACTAGATTGCGGAACAGAGACCGACGTTAAATAAAGGAAACAAGAAAAATATGAAGAAAATTTCTCGAGACCAAAACACACCCACGCAATCCAGGGTATTTTTATTCTAGAGAAATTTGCGTATAAAGCCATTCTCGATGAACATTTCAAATGGTCCTATCTGCTTTGATCGATTCTCTTAATCGACTTTCTCTTTTCATAACCACTGCTATGCAAACAGATTTCGCGTTAATTCTACCACATAGTTTGATAAAGGAGGTTCTTATCTAGCGTCCAAAACGTCAAATACAACAAGGAAAGGTTTTGCAGCTGAGTTATTGACGAAAGAGAAAGTCGATGAAGAGAATCGATCAAAGCAGATAGGACCATTTGAAATGTTCATCGAGCATTGTTTACGTTTGGTTGTTCCGCCTATTTCAATTGTTGCTCTAGATTTCAAAGCAGATCTTCGATCGATGCATCGTCGACTTTTTAAATCAACTGTGTGTGAGTGATGACCACGTTCTGCGTCCATTGTTGCAATGAAAGTGCTCTGCTCCCCATTGACGATACTGCCATACAAATAAATCCACTGGAGGCGGGGATCCCGTTCTGATGGAGGGGCCTATTGGATAGCGGAAGCTGAAGCTTCTATTGTGTTATATCTTTTGACTATAATTTTACGACGTTTTGTATAGTGAACAAGAATCGTCGGCTCTGTAAAGTTAATTCGATTAAACCAATAAACAACAACTCTTCGAGAATTTTAAACTTTTTTCAATACGCTTGACTCAGGGGGTAAGTCATTCTGGCACCTTGTGTTAAACACATCCAAAACACTCTTCGACACACTGAAACACCCTTCAACCACCATGAGAACCAATTTTTCAATCTTTTCTGGCAGCACTGCCTAGAGCCAAGAATGTTTACATTCGTTTGATGTCCTTTTTTGTTTTTGTTGATTTTTTTTTTTCTGAAGTAGACATCTCCCTCCAGCAATGTATACCGAGGATTCCACAGAAAACTGATCGGGACATGAAAGTAACACTCACTCCCGAGTCCCGGAATTGGGACATTGGAAACCGGCAATTTAGCCTCTAGAACAAGCTACAATATCTGCAACTATGTATAAATGAAGGAGCGTATAGTAATTATTTTGTCAATTATTGACTGATAGCTGAAGAGAGATATTTCTTTCTAATTTGGTAGTCATTCCATATACAAAATACCAAATCAGAGAGATCCATCCTATGGTTACCATATCAAAAACTTGAAAAGGAGGACATTTTATTTAAGGTTTGGAGATTAAGGAGGACCTTCCTTTTTTAAACATTAAAGGAGGACTAAGAGTTTTTATCAAACGTTTTAATAATATGTGCGCTATCACAAAATTCATGATTTGCGAAGGTTCAATTGAGATTGTTCTTAATTTGTAGTCGTTATCAATTCAATTCATCTTCTCGTTATATGTACTTCTGAAAAATGCATCAAACTAGCCGTCATAATTCATTTTTGATACTTGGAAATGATCTAGTCTAGCTGATGCAAATGAAAACTGCAGCTTTTACAGCCTTCCCAAGTAACAATTTTTGGTTTTATGAGGGTTCTGTAGACCATGCTTTAGACTTGTAGAATGCTTTAAAACTTTGATAAAACTTGCAATGTTATTTGGGTTAAAACCTTCCCAAAAATCAGGATATATTCAGGACCCGCTTCACTCGCAGTATGGCAGTGGCCAAATCAAGCGTAACTGGTTGGTTGGTTGACTTTATTAATACCTAAAATCCCATAGAACTAGAACGTCACTCTGTGTGGCTGTGTTTCATTTAGTGAATTTTATCTTAAATTTGATAGATAGATAATTTTCAAATAAACCTGATATTGTACCAGACTTATTTCTGACATACCAGGACTCAATTTTGGCAAACACCTTCTTGAAAATCATACGATCAAGAATTTTTCTGAGAGTTTTTCGAACATTATAATTTATTTTCAAAATGTAGAATTTAAGTAAAAATTCAGAAAAATTGATGATTTTTCACTGATTTTTCGAAATTATCTCTTATGTTGATCGTCCGATTTTCCGATTTGTTTGTCAAAATTGATTCCTGGTTTGTCTGATATAAGTCTGGTAGAATAGCAGGTTTATTTGAAAATTTTCCATCTGTCAAATTTAAGTTAAAAATCACGAAATGGACAGCAACCTTGACCGTAGCCTAAATGTAGGAGGGTTGACAGCTGTAGTATACTCCTAGTCCCACCAACGGATGGCATTTGTGACATAATGAAACAAATATGCAGGGCTGTCTTGCATCAACGTAGAGAGAGCAAAGTCAGTGATGAAAAATATTGTATTACAATCTTCGTCGCACTCCAAGAAGCGCATGACAAATTCCGTATGAAGACAGTCCTCTTTCATTTACGTCGTGAAAAAACTAGCTCAGTACGTTCTCTCTCTCTCTCTTAGATCGGTCGGTTACTCGGAGAGGATTAAAAACTGCACGTTTTAGTCAGCAGTTCCGTATTGTTTGACAAAAAATGATGATCGTTTGAAGCAACACAAAAAACTTAAAATGGGTACAAAACCGATCCGAACCACCAACGATGAGATTAACAGGCTTGTGTTTTCACCACTGGTCTATCAACGTTTAGAATAATGAAAAGGCTAAAAGAGAACAAGAAGCGCTCATAGTGTGGTTACTAGTCTGCTCACATGCACGTTCGACGGTATTTGCTTTTTTTTTGTCCATGCATGATACAAAAAAGAGAAGTGAAGGTAAAAGATGCGATAGGATTTGTTCACAGGGCTGTCGGCTTCTCTTCGTCAATGACGAAGGATGTATGGAAATGATGGTTTTTGTACCGCGACAATTTATTTTTGGTTTTCGTCAAACGTCACTGACCAAACAGACCGTTACCAACTCTGCAAATATGTCACTATGTTACTGGAAAAAAATGCAACGATTAAAAAGGAGGACATTTATGGGCAAAAGGAGGACGTTGAAAAATTATTGAAAAAGGAGGACATGTCCTCCTTTAGGATACCATATGGTAACCCTAATCCTACTAGCTGCGGCGTAAAAAAAAGTTCGTATTCATTGCGAAATTTAGATCCAGAGATTGCTTAGAAAGATGCATGCTCGGCTGGGTTGCGACTGGAATTCGTTTGGAATGGATTCGAGAGGGCTTTACTGGTTTGAGCCAGGATCTCAAGTATAAGAATTCGACTGTTGAGGGAGTACTTTTTTAGATCGGATTCGGACATATACAGCACACTCTTTTAGATAGGTGTGGTTTTTACTGGTATTCCATACTTACACTGTGCATAATTAAATTGTTAATTTTTTGGCGAGAGCCATAAAAAAGATAATTCTGTTTGTAAACAAATGTGGATGTACTGGTTGCCAGTAATCATTAATTTTCGCTCAACGTTTTGACAGCTAGGTCGACATGCAGAAACACGCAGAAACACTTTCCGACACCCAAAAACACACAAGAAACACAATCAACACAGGCACAAGGTGGTAGCGTGACTTAAACGCTGTCCAGACTGGAGAGTTATAACATGTTATAACGGTTATCAACTAATTGCAACACAGAAACCACCATCAAGATAGCGCTATAACATGTTATAACTCTGTAGTCTGAACGTACCCCCTGGTTTGACTCGGAAAAATAATAATATGCGACAAAATAGAGATCTGGTTGATCTACCTTGATCTAGGTAGTTGATCGCCGTGAGTTGCTCATCAACATTGACTGTTGATCAAGAGACAGATTGTTGATAAATGCAAGTTTTCGATCAAGGCAAATTGTTTATCAAAACGGATGGTTGATCAAGGTTAATTGTTGTTCAAATCAATTCCTTGATCATGATAGATTGATGATCAACAACAGGTTGTTAAACAACGTGCAGATTGTTGGTTAGGAAAAATACCATCGTTAGATTGACAGATTGTCGTTCGAGGTACATTGTTGATCAAAGTAAATTTATGATCAAGGTAGATTTACGCAGTAGATTTGGGCAAATTGTTGATCATGGCATTTTTTTAAAGCCATTCGTTGATGAAAATAATGATTGATTTATGATGCGTGTCAGCTTTTCCTTTAGCTAGGTGTTCTTTGAAAACTTCCCCAGTTGTTAATTGAGACCTTGCTTTGCCTACATTCCATACATTGTGTTTGAAGTTACTCGATCGGATGACATTTCATTTCTCTTTAAAGGCATACTTCAGATATGGTCGATCGTTTTATTGAGATGCAATGCCTAAGATAATTATTAACTTTCAAATATCTCACGTGAATTTTCGATAGTTTTGCCTCAAACATTTTCTCAATATTTTCTTATTTTCTTGCAGCCCCTTGTAGTCAAACCGGATCAGTTGATCAAGCGACGAGGAAAGCTAGGGCTGATCGCTGTTAACAAGAACTTCACCCAGGTCAAACAATGGGTCGACGAGCGTATGGGCAAAGACCAGAAGGTGGGCAATACCACCGGCAAGTTGCGAAACTTCATCATCGAACCCTTCGTCCCACATAAAGATGTGAGTTTGTTTGCGCGAAGGATTATAGAGGGCATAATTCATTTAAATTTCAATTATAGAACGAAGAAGCATATGTGTGTATTTACTCTCACCGAACGGCGGACACTATTTTATTCTACCATCAAGGAGGTGTCGACATCGGAGATGTAGACTCCAAAGCACTGAAGCTCGATGTACCTGTTGGACAAGATGTCTCCCTGGAGAGCATCGAAAAGGCGTTACTCACTGAAGTAGCAGCCGCTAAAAAGAAGTATGATTACATTGCTCAAACGATCGACGGATTGTTTAAAAAATGCTTGCATTATTTATTTTTTGTAGGAGAGTCGCCAGTTTTATCTTTAATTTGTACAAACTTTATGTAGATCTGTACTTTACGTATCTGGAAATCAACCCTCTGGTGGTGACAGACAGTTCCATCTACATTCTGGATCTGGCAGCAAAAATTGACGCCACAGCCGATTTCGTCTGCCGTCCCAAATGGGGTGAGATTGACTACCCACCTCCATTCGGACGCGATGCCTACCCGGAGGAGGCATACATCGCCGATCTGGACGCCAAAAGCGGTGCTTCGTTGAAGCTAACCATCCTTAACCGGAACGGTCGAATATGGACCATGGTTGCCGGTGGTGGCGCTAGTGTTATCTATGCCGACACCATTTGTGACTTGGGAGGTGCCACCGAACTGGCCAACTATGGTGAATACAGTGGTGCACCGTCGGAACAGCAAACCTACGAGTACGCCAAGACTGTCCTCAGTCTGATGACCAGCAGTCCGAAACATCCACTGGGCAAGGTACTAATTACCGGTGGAGGTATCGCCAACTTTACCAACGTGGCAGCTACCTTTAGCGGCATTATTACTGCCCTGCGAGAGTTCCAGCAGAAGCTTGTCGATCACAATGTATCGATCTTTGTTCGTCGTGCTGGGCCCAACTATCAGGAAGGTTTGAGGAAAATGCGTGAAATCGGAAGCACGTTGGGTAAGTTTGTTGTGTATTATCGTAACACATTTGCTGATTGCTATTTTTTCTCCATAATTTTGTAGGAATTCCACTGTTTGTATTCGGCCCGGAAACGCACATGACCGCCATCTGTGGCATGGCCCTTGGTACTAAGCCAATTCCAAAGAGTTGTAATGTTCATTTTGCGACGGCTAATTTCCTGCTTCCAGGAGGACAACAGGCTGCCGATGCCGCCAAGAAGTCGTCCGCCGCCGGCAACGATGTCGCCAATGGTTAGTATACTCTGAACTGTTTGCTGATCGTAATCACACTAACACTGTTGCTAACACACACATACACACTACTAAAACACGGATACAAAACAGTTGGATGATGATGATTTGATTCATTTGCGTTATTATATAGTTACAGGTACAGTAGCACGATTAAGTGTAGCAAGATTGCTTTCGAAAATTTTCTACGGTAGTTCTGGCAGTGATACAGGTATTATTGTTCGGTACTTTATGTTGCACCATTTATTGATTTCACTGTGTGCTGTGGTCTTGGATGAAGATTTTTTAAACATAATGGTAGAAATCTTATGAAGCAGTGTAAATAAGTTGCACTAACTAGGTGCAGTTGTTTTGTTTGTCTTATTTTTCAGGTGATGGGAAAAGTTGCTTTCGTTTGTGTATAGTGCCTGTATTTTCTGCCAGAATAACCGCACCGTTTGAATCGTTTAGCGAAAATATAAAGTTCTATAATTATAGCCCCTTTCGTGGCTAACTTAATCGATCATCCGGTATAGAATTTTCGGGTCGGAAATTTCATCAACTTCCCTGAGCATAGAGTATGATTGTACCTTGCCACACAATTATACAAATGCAAAAATGGCACAGGCTATAAAGCTCTCAATCAACAACTGTAGAAGTGCAAAAAGAAGACAAGTTGAGAGAGTTGGTGTAAAGCCCCAATGGGGACATAATAAAGCCAGAAGAAGAAGACCACATTTGGCAGTAATTTGGCATAAAATGCACAGAAATATATTAAAGTCATTTGTCATAAGATGTATGAAAAGGTTGAACATAAAAGGCCATTTAGCACAACCGTCCTCTGATATTATTTGCAGCAGGAATTTGTTCTATAAATATGGAAGACATAACAACCCCAACCCTTTAAATTAAATGTCTTAATGTATGTAAATATGGCTGCATGTGTTTTGAACGTAGCGTTGGTGCTGGGATTACGAAATGTAACGATTCGAATCGAACGATTCTCGTAATTTTCTGTGAGAGATCTCGAATCCCAGAATCTTGAAAATTTGATAATTTTGAGATATTAAGTTAAGTTTTCTATTACCAATGGGTTCATTACTTCACAGCGGATAAGAAACCGGAAGGACAGTTCCGCGAAACGATCTGTCAGTGGGAGAACACCCGCGAGTACTTCGAGGCTCATCGTATGCGTCGAGTGCATACAGGCAAGCGCGATTCGGAGGCAACGGTATCGAACCCGTTGCAGCTTCAGGATGTGTGTTTTTGCCGCGGATTGAAAGCAAAAGCTACCGTACTCTAGATCCGACAAGGTGGTTGTTTGGTACAACCTGATCAGATCTTCCGGATGTGCTCCCCACCAAGTTCCGGTAATTTCACGAAGAAAATTTATTCTTTGTTGGCATTTTTGTTTCACATACGCAATATGTTTTCCTCACGTGCTTTTGGAATCGAACCAGACACCTAAATACTTGAAAGATATACTTTGAGTGATTGTTCTACCCTTTAGTTGAAGCTGTAACTGTGCAGGATGCTGCTTCCTAGAAAAAACAACCAACTCCGGAGAGAATTCAATACCTAGCTTCATAGCCCAAGTAGACAAATTGTCTAAGGTATCTTGGCCCTATAACAGACACAACGTCATCATCTGCTAGCTGCCTTAGCGAGCAATTTTCATCAATGTCTTTTACATAAAAAATATAAAGAAGGGGGCTTAAACATGAGCCCTGGGGGAGACCCATGCAACTAATTCGTGAAGTTGTTTCACGAATTAGTTGCATGTTGCATGCAGGTTTCTCAGACAACAAGTTGCTCAAATAGTTGTTCATAATTGGTGAAAGCCCACTATCGTGGAGTTTATCCGAAAGGACATCGATACAAACAGAATCAAAAGCCCCCTTAATGTCCAAGAAAACTGAACTCATTTGCTGTTTTTGCGCATAGGCCAGTTGAATTTCAGTTGAAAGCAACGCAAGACAGTCGCTCGTTCCTTTGCCTCACCGAAAGCCAAATTGCGTATCTGAAAGTAAACCATTCGACTCAACCCATTTGTCTAGACGAAAAAGAATCATTTTCTCCAACAATTTCCGTATACAGGACAGCATCGCGGTGGGACGGTACGAGTTATAATCCGACGCGGGTTTACCGGGTTTTCGAATGGCCATAACTCTTACTGGCCTCCAGTCATCCGGAACAATGTTGTGCTCCAGAAATTGAATCTCTTCGCGACGTCTGGGAGATTTTTAAGCAAGTTGAACTTGATTCTATCCATTCCTGGAGCTGAGTTGTTACATGAGAGGAGAGCAAGGGAGAATTCCACCTTCGAAAACGGGGAATCTATTTCGTTATTACCCGATGGACGATCACAAACGTTGGTTTGAACCGGTACCGAATCCGGGCAAACTTTCCGCGCGAAGCTGAAAATCCATCTGTCCGAGTACTCCTTGTCTTCATTAATCGGTGATGACGCGTTTCGCATTCTCCTGCCGACATTCCAGAGTGTTCTCATGGAAGTCTCTCGCGACAAACCATCGACGAACCGACGCCAGTAACCACGTTTTTTTTTGCTTTAATCAAGTCCTTAAAAGTTTTCTGGACGTCGGTGTACCGCTCGAAATCCCCGACCTTACCGTGTTTGCGGAAGCGTTTAAACGTGGCGGACTTCTCGCTGTTCGCGTCGGTGCAATCCTTATCCCACCACGGGGTGGGAGGTCGCTTGCAAACGGAAACACCCGGAACACGTTTCGCCTGTGCTCGCAGCGCACAATCGATGATGAGACGCGCGAGAAAGGAGTACTCGTCCAGTGGAGGAAATATTTCAACCGATTGGCTGGCATCAAGAACCGCGATCGTGAACTTTCGTGAGATCGTACGCGACATCAACCGAGCGAGTAGAAGATGAACCATTGGTAATAGACATTTTGATTGGCAAATGATCACTACCGTAGGGATCTTGGATTACTTTCCACGAGCAATCCAACGATAATTAACTTGAACAAAGTGAAAGATCTAATCTGCTTACTTTTGCTGGAGGTTTGGCTACTCGTGTTGCTTCCCCGGTGTTCAGAATTGTCATTTTGAAGATATCGCACATGTCGTATATCAAGGTTGAACGGTTGTCGTCCTACAGTACCGTGAGAGTTAAAATCTCCCAAGATCAACCGTGGCTCCGGCATAGCCGTGCAGATATCCGAGAAACTTTGACGAAAAATCGCTGTTCTTGGTGGAAGATATACTGACGCATTTACCTCGAATGTTAACCTGACATGCAACAACTTCAATGCCTGTCACCGAAGGCAGATCGATTCTGTAAAAGGAATGGAGCTTGTTGATCCCGAGAAGCATCCCTCCATACGAATCTGCGCGGTCAAGGCGAATAATGTTGAAATCGTGGAAAGCAAGATCGTTGTCTGAAGAGAGCCATGTTTCACAAAGGGCAAATACATCCGAAAGTAAGTTGTTAAGTAAAAATTAAAATGCGTCAAGTTTTGGTATATAGCGGCGCCGGTGGTGTAGTGGTAAGCGTGATTACCTCTCACCCCAGCAGGCCTGGGTTCAATCCCAGTCGGCGCCGCCGGGATGTTCTGAGGCATAACATCTCTGATCACGCCTTCCTTCGGAAGGGAAGTAAAGCCGTTGGTCCCCGGTTCATGAGTTGATGGGTCGATAGGTAGGGTCCAGGTGTAGGAGCTGCCTCTCTGGCGTCGGTAGCATTGGTGCTCAGCACGGAAAACAAGATCGACGGAAAATAAATCAAAGGAAAAAAAAAAAAAAAAAGTTTTGGTATAAGACTTCTACAGTTCCACTGAAGAATTGAGATCATATTCCCGACCTCATTCGGAGAGTTATCCATCAAAGGATATGATTGATGCAATGAAGGACCACCTAGAAGCTAGTTGCTTCAAAAGAGTTTTCACCATTGGCCGCACTAAATTAATAATGCTCCTCGTTGAGTCAGAGATATTGAATATACTGAAAAATCTATCCACAATACCAGAAAACGTGAACATGGGGGCATGTTCTTGCTGATTATTCAGCTAATTTTCTGGCCAAATAACTGGGACATCTGGGATTTTAGATGATCCTGGAAGTGACGGACAGTTCTTGTCATAATTACAAGGTTTAAACACCGACAAACCGACATGAATGATCATACAAAATACAAAGAAATTTCTGATCAAAGCACAAAACTGACATCTGCTGCCGTGTTTGCGGAAAATATTTATCCTACCCACGAACACGCGTACAAAATGTATGGATTGGTTCGTGTCTAATCTATTTTGGACAAATTATTTTTATCTAGATAAAACATTTCTATGGTTTTGACAGATGGGATCGCTGCACATTTGAATCGGCCGTTAAGGATTCTCGATCAAGATTTAAGTTTGAGTTTCATGTCGGTTTGTCGGTTATTTAAAACCCGATGGAATGGGTTTCGGTGCATTTTCGTTACCTCTTGATTTTTCTAAGAAGGGAGGGCGGTCCATACAAGTGGCCTTACGAGGCTTTTCGGTGGTGTGTTTTTTGGCTCATTTTCTCGTATTGCCTTTAAAGACAAACGGACTACCCTCACCGCCCTCTGAGTCAGAGTCTAGATCATCAACTGGCAAAATGAAGAAAGTTTTACTGCTTTTTGGAGTGATCTGAAAAGGTGAAGCGGTATTATTCAAGAGTTCTGCTATTGTTCTCTTGGAGCGAGCTTGCAGAGACCGCTTGATGTTGTCTCCCTGCTGTTTGTACCTCGGACAGTCAGTCAGGATATGCAGGCTCTCCTTGCAGTACACGCATTTTGGAGGAGCACTGCAAGGACTCCCTGGATGCTGCTCGCCACACTGATCGCAGCGTGGTTTATTCGAGCAGTAGTCCGATGTGTGACCAAGTTGTTTACATTTCGAGCAGTTCATTACCCGAGGTACAAACAGACGTACAGGCAGCCGAACCTTGCCAATAGCGACGTAGTGATTAAAGCTGGACCGTAATCAAAGCGCTCGGCGTATGGTTAACGGTTTCCTCACTCGCGC